CTTCAGTGCACTCATTTGTGTCATTGCAGGAAAGTTCATTTTGGGGTGTATGCATACTTTTCACCTGGCTCGGACTATTTTTGTTTACTTTTCAACATTTATGCTCTGGATTCCTCAAGCTCTTTTGGTTGCAACATGGTTTAATGGCTAAAGACAGATCTTGCTTCAGTTTCTTACACCTACTACTTTTTGGTCTATTTGGATCTCACCTCTTACTTTACAGTGTCTCTTTAGTTCTTTTGGGAGTATACTTTTTGGGTTTGGTATACTTCAACATATTCAGGTATACGTTTTGTATTTGGTAAATTCCTTTTCTTTTGCTTTGGGTTGAGTTGTATGTGGATAAGGATCCCTATTTTGAGTAAGTTTTATATTTTTTTTTAGTTTTACTAGTTGGGGATCCTCTCCCAATTAACTTTTGTACCCTTTTTAATGATTAACATGTAGCAAGCAAGATAATGCTCCTTTAATTAAAAAAATATATAAGGAGACCCGTAGGTAATTTTATTCCATAAAAAATATGGGTTACAAAAGAAGGAAGTGGAACCCATTAGTAAAAACAAAAGAAATACAATACCCACTCCTAGGGTTCCTCTTCTACCATTGCAACTCATCCAAGAGAAAGGCTCCCAAAACTTACAAGTGTACTTATCCAAAAAATCAAAATCTCCAAAAGAAGTATACTCATAAAAAAACAAAAAGACATGCTCCAAATTGATTGTAAATAGCTGCCATCCAAAACCAGTGCAGAAACTAATGGGCTCTTGATATAATGGATAAAGTCTTAATTAGGGGATGTTGATTAAATCTCTATGCAACAGAAGCTTGAACATAGGAGGGAGAGCCACCCCAATCTTCAGTTCCTCACAAAAAGTACCCCTATTTGCTAGCCAGTTTGCCACCTTATTTCCTTCCCTATGAGGATAGCTCCATGTGATATGCATTTGCTTAGCCATTTCAAGAATACAATTGGCATATAAAGAAACATGCAAAGCAGGAGAATGAGTTCCTTTAATCATATTAACAAGCTCTAAGCAATCCAATTCAACATGTAAACAACAAATATTAAATCTAATAACCACCTTAACCACAAGCAGTACAACCAAAACTTCAGCTTCAAGTGCATCATTTGCAACACAAGGAGAAGAAAAGGAAGTAATGCATTTACTGTGAAGTCACGGAAAACAACCCCAAAACCCGCCCTATCTTATGAGCCAACTATCATTTGTATTAACATTGATCCAAGGAAAGTAAGGTTTCCTCCAAGTAACCTGCCGTACCATAGTTTTGATGCACCTTCCACCTGCAATCTTGGCTTTACCAAAAAAGTATATTAAAACCAACAAAGCAAGTAAGATCTACATTTCCATAAGTGTAGAGTTTATATATGTAAGATAAAACATTTGCAACCACCCTTTCCTCCTTAACCTCCACCTCATCATGCTTAAATGAATTGTGAGCCATCCAAATGAACCATAATGCTATAAAAGGAATCAATATATAAGCATGAGTATTTGCAAGGTCCAAAAACCAAATAGTTAACACTGTGAAATCCCACTCCAACCATCTGCAGGTTGCACCAAACCAAATAAACAACCCACCTCTTTCCAAATCAGTAAAGAAAATTTGCATGTAAAGAATAAATTTGAAATATTCTCCTCTTCACTCTTGCAAAAGGGTAAAATTGTAATTATTTACGATTATTATTGATGATTATTAACTCTCTGAGATGACTAAAACACAAAGGGTTAAAGGGTAGAAACCAATTCACACTATCTAATACAAAAGGGTAAAATTGTAATTATTCAAATTATTGATGTTTGGAAGATAAATAAATTTGGATGATTCAAATGTGAGGGGCATAAGTTAGGAAAACAATAATTCACTAATTTGAGGCTCCAAGCCAAATGTTCAATATGATTTAATTTTTGAATAAGGATTAAGCACATTACATAAAACTTTTGCAAAATTATAAATTTGCCCTTAAGAGATCCAAGAACTTAGTAGTGAACTATGATTGATACACAATCATTTAATGAGGTTTAGACAAAAAAAAAATATAATTAATCACATCTTTAAAACACTACAAGTTCAATCCTAAGAGAAAGGTAAGGATTTCATCATAACTTAACTAGCCCTCAAGGGTGCCACCCATATAATTCTGAAACTTAACATCAAATGAATGACTAGTTACCCCACTTATGAGATGATTAGAACATTGAAGTTCATTAAGCACGAGTTAAAATACCATAACTAAAACCAAGAATGATCAATTCGTTAATATAGTAAATTTCGGTGAACTATAAATGATGCAGAAACTCCTAAAGTTGTTTAGGGTTATTCCCCAAATTCTTTTGAAAAATTCTTGAACAATTCAAAGGACACCTGAACTTATTATAATTTGTTGAATAAATTCATTCTAAAAACATAAACAACCACTAAGAACCAAAACAAAGAACAAACCCATAGGGATTCACCAAGATATGACTCGTGACCTATTAATTCACACTTCCAAATAAAAATACTATACAATACTTATCCTATATTAACAACCCAATGCTTAAGGATATGAGTATTCGATAAGTATTCAAATCCTTGCGAGCAACCAGGGATATTTTGCCACATATGGATCATCAGACTTGTGTAAATTTGAAGTCTAGGCGGCTAGGGCTATGACGACATTGCTTATGTGTGCTAAACGAGGACAAAGTGAGATTTAGAATAATATCTCCTACCACTAGGACCTACTAGGAGAGGATATGACTGAGGATACTATTCACCAACTTTTGGTAGAAGTTGCCTCCGACACTCTTAGGTTGTCGGTAGTCCTAGTATGATTACAGTAATTAACATGTGGAGTACACTACTTTACAAAATATTTAAGAAAACAAAAATTTATTTTGTGACATAATTACTTTTGCTTGCTAAAATAAATTCTACGTGCATGAAAAATTAACAAATTTGGATGGAAACTTATAAAGGTCTACGGGTTTAATCGCTCGGATCGAGGTTAGGGATTTTTCTCCTTGAATTGTCGGGTTGGTAGCATTTACCCTATGTTGGAATTATAAAGCGCACAATTCAGCTCTAAGCCCCCACATTTATTAAAGTCGTACGCTTAGCCCCGGTCTTCCATATGTGACAAAGGATTTTGTTTTATTCGATTCAGATTTTTCTCACGATTCAAATAAAGTTTTCTCATACTGGATTCTTTCATGATTTGGTTAAGTTTCATCAGTTTGCTTAATTCCTGCACTTCATTATATTATCCATATTGTATTAACCCCTTTTGTAGCAATAGCAGGGACCCAAGTATGCAATGTTATGTTTTATTATAATTTTTTATTATACTGCACTTCTGTGCATATTAATTACAATACCTCTTAGAATAGAAGAACAGTAGCTTGGTTATATAGGAGGTACATAGCGACAGGACGCCGATCAAACTATTTGCATGCACACTTTAAATCTAAGCTCTAAACTTGCAATCGTTGCGACAAGAAGCTCGGAGCAAACTTCGTGAGCAGCATGATGAGGATGCAAGAGAAGAACATATTCAAGAGAGCAAACAAGATCTTCAACAGCTAAACTTTCCTTAGAATTAAACAATAAATTCAAAGGTCTTCTAGGTAGTCCACCAAGTGTGACATAAATCCTCACATTATCATTAGTCTTTTGCACAACCATATTATGCAATATAAGCCCTAACTCTTTTAAAGCCTCGAGGTCGTCGTCTTATACAACATAAATCTTCCTACTTTCCAGGCTATTTGTGCAATCAAGTATCATGCAGATGTTAAATAATGAAATGACATGAGTAAACATTAAATAATTTCGTTCTTAAAATATAAAACCCAACAATATGATAGTTTGAGAAGTCATCAAGGTTTGCCTTGAGGTCTGCGGCTTCCCTCACTTCTCGTTCCCTTGGATTCCGATAAAACTGCTCCTATTTGAATCATTCCCACTTGATTTTCCCATGTCCAACCTTGAAAACTAGATCATTGAAATTCTTGAAGACAATACTTCTGATCATTATCAAGAGTATTCTTAGCTGACTTCGGTCATTTAAGATGTAATTAACTATAGGAGTTTGCCGCTATAGAGAATTAAAGAACCCAAATAATATAAATCCTATCTATTCTTTAATATTAGGTAAGGGTACATGTCAGTCACACAAAAGATTTACAGATCAAACAGATATCATAAATCATTTTAGTTTATATGATCGAGCTCACTGTCAAGTAGTATGCCTATCTTTCGAATAGTGTATTACGAGAGGTGTTAGGCTCGATTACTTATACAATTGAGAATATGAGATTTGTCTGGTCTCATTTCATTTTATTAAAATTAAGATGCTATATTTTCAAAATTAAAATTATATATCTATTAAACCAAATTAAACTATAAAATTAAATTATTTTCAAAGCAAGCGATAGGATTCCCATTCTGGCAGCACGACAGGTTTCAAATGGCGATTGACAAACCTGATAGGTGCACCTCATAGTGCTGGTGCGAATCTGCTCTTGTAGGCTTTATGAAATGAACATACAATAATGCAACTTTCAATTGAGGTTGATCGATTGATATGATTGGGCTAGAAGCAACCGGTCGATCGAGTCGTCGAGAGAAGGGGGTCGGTGGTGGCCGATCGGTCAATCCAACAGAAACGGTCGGTCGAGCTGATTGGTCCGGTGATGGCCAATTGGTCAAACGTACAGAAATGGTGGGTCGAGCTAATCGGTCGGTGGCAGCCAATCAGTCGAGCCGATGGAAACAATTAGTCGAGCCGATGGAAATGGTCGGTCAAGTTGATCAGGCCAGTGGCAGCCGTTTGCTCGAACCGACTGAGATGGTTGAACAAGCCGATCGGACCTGTCACGGACGATTGGTCGAGTGTTTTGACCATGATTTCATGCATACCTCAATGTGTTTATTATACATTAGTGCTTGATCTGGCATCATTTGAGCTCGAATTAAAGATGTCGTTGAATTCGTTCTGTCGAAACATTCAATTCATTATAAATTTGTCAAAATCTATGTACCCATGGTTTAGAACTTTATTATAGAAATTATACAATGATAGGAATCCTAAATACAATTTTTTTACTAGGTGACGTGTAAAGTATAATCACAGGCTCAGCGGCCCTATGTATTCTTCATTGAAGTAAAATTTGCAAAATTAGAAAAGAATTGACTAATCTAAAAATCTCTACAGCGTCCAACTCATCTCGCTTCCATTGAATCCGGTAATTCGGAATTCGCAGTAAACCGATCTGTTGAATGAAAATCGTAGTTGGTTCCCACCGAAGTACACGATTCAGGCGACATGCTCGTTGGTATTTCCCCTGTAAAGTATCCCGGCAGTGTCGGGGCTGGAAGCATTTCTGCGTTAGTGCTCAACATGAGCACTACAGAAGCCATGCTTGGCCTCTCCGCTGGGTCTGCCTGAATGCAAAGCAGCCCAATGTTGATGCATCTTAACACATCCTCCAGTTGATACAAACCGCCAAGTTCTCGATCAATAACTTTCTCTGATTCTCCTTGATTCCATTGCTGCCAAACCTGTGAAACAAACCCAAAAAGATTATTCACAGTTTTAACAAACAAATGAGATACAGCGCAACATTCCACCCAATTCTTATGTATTTACAGATCTAACCCCTATCCCACCAAAAACTGCGTCATTTTTGTTTCTAAAAAGTAAAATACAAGGCGGCCTGTGAGAAAAAATTGAAGTGTAGGTGTTAGAAGATCTGTAAATACAAAAGCATTCCATAATAAGGTTGAATTTATCTGAATTACTTACGTATGTCTGAAGGTTCAAGGCATTCCCCCCCTCTATAAAACTGGCATTTCTCCTCCCAGTTATAATTTCCAGCACCACCATTCCATAGCTGAAAACATCCGATTTAGTCGAGAACAGGCCGCGCGTCGCATATTCTGGAGCCATGTATCCACTGCATCAAATCAAAGGCACAATATGAGAACATCAACATACGCATTGAGTATGGTTTCGAATGCTTTGGCATGTTAATATGCTTACAATGTTCCTGCAATTTGTTTTGTGTTCCATTGACTCTCATTGATGCCGACAGGCTTTGCGAGGCTGAAGTCCGAGATCTTGGGGTTCATGTCACCATCTAACAATATATTTTTTGCATTTAGATCTCGATGAATGATTCGCAGACGCGAATGATTGTGCAAATATACTAGGCCTCTAGCAATTCCTTCAATGATTATATGCCTCCTTTTCCAGTCTAATTGTGCTCGCCAGGCAGGGTCTGATTGGATCAAAAAAGATTTAGTTCAATTATAAAAGCATATACTGATGATTTATATATATATATATGCTCACCATATAGGTGCTTGTCAAGGCTTGCATTAGGGAGGTATTCATAGACGAGTAGCTTCTCATTCTCTTGCAAGCAACAACCCAACAGTTTTACAAGATTTTTGTGCTGAAGTTGAGCAACCAAAGCTGCTTCATTCCTTAATTTTACCAGGCCTTCACCATTGGTTTTGGACAGCCTTTTCACTACTATTTGTCGTCCATCCCATAGCACCCCCTGGTGAAAGTAACAAGTCAACAAATTTAACTTGTTAGCAAATGTGGATTAGAATCAATCAAAATTAGGTTTAATATAACATTGGTCAAATTCATGTTCAATTAGGAAGCATAATGAGTTTTTCTACTATAAGTAAAATTTAATCAAGTTAGGAATTAGAATGTATGGAAAACTCTTTGGAGGTGAGAGAGATTTGATTAAGCTTTTGTTTGGGGTAGCGAAACAGTGGTGGTATGGTGCCTCATTATAATTTGTTGTGTTAGGCAACATTTCTATTTTGCCAGCATTTTCAAAAAATAGTAGTTGGATGCCGCATTTTGCTGTCTGACCTAACTAAATGTAGCGGCAACAGAAAATTGTTGGATTATTTAAAATATTAGTAGCCACAGTAGTTTTTTAAACAAAAGTTTCTTCTGCAGCAATTTTACAACTACTTCTTCAAACAACTGAAGCTGCCTAAACAGACCCTAAATTCTAATAAAATATTTTTTAATATATTTTAAGGTTTAGAATTTAATTAAAAAAGAAGAAATGGTGCAGTGAGAAAAAGTGATGAAAATCTCTTAAACTCTATGATTTTCCAAATCTGAGATTTAGCTTATAATGATAGAATAATGAGTTTAGGAGAGTAAGAATTATACATCCCAAAAAACCCATTCGGGTAAATTGAGCTAAAATTTTGACTGGATTTTGCCACACTACAAAATCTAAATATATGTGTAAAATATCAAACCCTAGGAATTCTGTAAAAACTTTTTTATTTCTTTTATCTGCAAACAAAATTGATTATTATCAGCTTGTCATGTGTCTCAATATAATTAATCTCAATCTTACCTTATAAACCGGGCCAAATCTGCCTTCTCCAAGCTTATTTTCATCGGAGAAGCCGTTTGTTGCAGCTTTAAGTCTTACAAAAGGAAGCAGATGAGATTCACTTGTTCTTATATTCTCCTCCACAGCATGCTCTATGAAACGGCATCCAAGAAGAAGAAAATAAGTACGCAATATTAATTAGCACAATTTTAATTTACCCGCACTAATTATAGCATAAACTGGTAATTAGACTTACTGTTGCATTTACGAACTATTAGTTTCCTTCGGCAGATGAGGAAAATGCAAATGACAATGATTGCTGATAAAATGGATGCACTGACTGAAACTGCAATAATTATTTTCTCTCTTTGGCTGCGTCTGCTTGAACCTATTAGAACTAGGCATTGCTCATCAGGATGTAAATTATAAGCCATAAATGAAGTGAAAAAAAGATTGAGTTAGCCACTTTGGTAAACAAAAAAAGTTTTATTTTGAGCAAATAAAGACTTTAAAATAAAATTAAAAGATTTTAGTTTTTGAGATATTTTCATTTGGAGTTAAAAATAAATTAGCAAGTTTATTTAAAAAATTCTTATTTATAAAGAAAGGCACAAACATTTGACGGGAAAATTCTAAAAAGATTTAATTGTTCTCTCATTTGTACTGTTAAACTGAAATAAAATATAATGTTCATTTGTACGGCTAAAATTATTTTTGAAGAACTTCTGAAAATTGCCAAGATCCGTTTTAGAATCCGGGGATGAAGAAACAATCCCCGCACAACCCGACAAAAGCTTACATTCGAATAGGACATGGGCATAAATGAAAAAAATATATGGGCATTTAATACATATGAATCTCAACATCTTCAGATCAATTTAATATTTAATAATCATATATATATAT